ATTGAGCAACCCTACTCCCATGTCAAATTTCTAACATTTTAAATAAAAAATTCCATCACTGATACTTTTAAATACTGATACTTTGATGGTTTTGTTTATTATTTTTAATAAAGTTCTTTTTCTTAAAGACCAAACCAATATTTTAACAAATTTCCAAAAAGGAATTCAAATAAATATTTCCATGTAAACCTGGAAATGATTCAAAAAATTTGGAGACATTGCTCTTGAACTGGTAACCACCACCAAAATGTCTCCAACCTGACCAAAAGAAGTAACTCTGCGTTCTTTAGGCACCTGTGTAAAGAGCAGCAGTTCTCTGCCTTGTCAATGTCAGAGGTCAGAGAAGAGATGGAGAAAGGCCAGACTGCTGGATTACAGCAGCATCCCGCACTGGGTTACACTGCTGTCGGCTAAGAACAGGAAACTGAGCCTACAGTTTACATGGGTGCATTAAAAATTGCAAACATTTTGCTTGGTCTGATGAGTCTCGATTTCTTCTACTGTCAGTAGAGTCTGAATTTGGTGTAAACATCATGAAAGCATTCACTCTACCTTGTGTCCAAGGTTCTGGCTGCTGCTCGTGTATCAACTGAGCATCATATAAACACACAGCCTGCCTGACTATTGTTGCTGACCGTATCCATCCCTTTATGACCCCAGTGTACCATCTTCTGATGGCTGCTTCCAGCAGGATACCACACCGTGTTGCAAAGCTCAAATCATCTCACACTGGTTTCTTGAACGTAGCAGTGACTGAATGACTGTACCCACACTCACAGCCTCCACAGTCATCACAGAAGATTCACATCATACACGTGCAGTCGACAAATCTGCAGCAACTGTGTGATGACAAGAGGGCCAACCCGCTACTAGCAAGGTGTACCGATTAAAGTGGCTGCTGATACTGATATTAATGATGATATATTACAATGTGAACAGTGAACCCACAGTCATCTAGAAATCCCAGTCTCTGAAAACATGCATATGGATCAATACCTGCTTTTGCTGGTTATGGGATTAATTTGACCAAATAACCACAGATTTAAATTGAATACATTTTTATTTGTTGTTCTTGTCGTGTCATATCTCTCGGATAAATCTGTTACTGTTTGTATGAAACAGCTGACGTCTGAAACAACCGTTCTGCCTCGTGGAGTACCTCAGGGATCTCTTTTGGGTCTGATTCTTTTACTTTAAATTAGATGGCATATCAGCTTCTTCAGACTTTTCGGTTCAATCATGCTGGTGTCAAAGGCTGAACTTGAGATGAATTTTCATGCTTTTATCTCTTCGTATTTGGAATTTTTGTAGCAGTCTTTTTACTTCAGACTTTAAGACTGTGCAGAATCCTGTCACAGAACTTTTAACTGGTGCCAACAGAAGATCACTCACCACTCCAGTTTTGGCTTCTCTTCATGTTTTACCAAACATTTTAGAATTCATTTTAAATTTTTAGTTTTAACTTTTAAGACCTCCATGGTGGATCTCCCCAGTAAATCATGACCTGCTGAAACCTCAGACTTTTTGCTGCTGACCCCACTAACAGCTCTAAAACTTGTGGGGATCAGACTTTTCAGGCAGTTTTACCAAGGTTGTAGAATTCTCTTCTGCTCTCTCTACACAGCACAGACTCTACTTCCTCTTTTAAAGAAGCAGCTGAAGATATTTTTATAGAGTCAAGCTTATAATCAGCCTGTTTTATGTTGAATTATATTATGCTTTACATTGTTATGATATACTTTTAGCTAACTATTGTAACCTTTCTTGCTGATGTGCATTATATGGATTTTGTTCCCTTGCAGATGCATTATGTATCTCGCCTTGAGCCATTACTAATGCTTTATGCAAATCCAGTGTAAGAGGCCATGAATGAAGTTAGTTTGGATAAAGCGGTGCTCTCAACAGATGTTGTATTCTATACATTTTTAGTTTACGAAGGGTTTGGTAAATATTTAATGACAGCATTAATGGAAGAATGGAAATGGCGAATGGAAGACTTGTGGAAAATGTTAATAGAAGTCATTCATCAAGCATGTTTGAAAACAATTAGCAGTTCCCTCACGGTTAATGTTTTTTGTTAATTGAAATCCTATTAAATCAAATTGCTGTCAGGCAGTTTCATAATTTTGTTAGCTTTTCTACTTAAAATGATTATGTGTGTGTTAAAGATTCAGGCTAGCATTACACCAGAGAAGAAATGGAATCATTAACCCATCGTTAACCTCACATGATCAATTGTAAAAGCGCTTCCAGGCTCTGTGTGCAGCTCGTGAAGGTCAGACGTAACATTTAGATGGACTCACTATCTTATTGAACCAAAGCTTTCATTTAATCTGCTTTATTTTTGCCTCTGTCTTCATCCCAGTCTTTTCATTAGCCAGCATCCACCTCAAGACAAATATTGCTCCGGGTGGCCCTAGGTCTGTCTGCACAGGGTATCCATCATTAGGATGTGACATGTAGTGCCAAGGGTCACACACACACATATGCTCTGTGTAATTGCAGATGGATACCCACAAGATGAAATGATTTACAAGTGGAGGAAGAACTCTGTGGAGGCGGCTGACCAAAAGTCCTGGCGTCTGTACCAGTTTGATTTTATGGGCCTGAGGAACACTACAGACGTCATAAAGACTACAGCAGGTAAAGAAGCACGAATTCATCTGTTTAACATTCGTAAACATTGCTGCTACCAAGCTGGAAATGGGTTGATATTTGGAGTCGGCGTGCATTGAGCTTCATTTCCACTCCTTCATTCTTTTATTGTGCAACAATTTGTGTTATGAAATCATGTTTAGCCAAACTGTTTGGAGACTAATTTGGGATATTAGATGCCTATCATGCTCAGAAAAGAAACGGCAACAATAATAAGAAAATCTGGCAAGAAACAACAGATAAAATATTCACAGGATTTTCACTGCCTTCCACTCCCACTGCGGGATTTCATCCAGTTTGTCAATGAAAAATTACTTCTTTCTGTTTAAACTGCAAAGTCAAACTCTTGTTGTCCCTGGGAGGTCCCTACTAAGATAAATACATATTCATTAGTTAGACCACTTACTGTTATCTTTTTGTTTACACTGAGATTACAAACAGTAAAGGTCCCCGAAATACAGCTCTTTATTTCTCCATCTGTCATTAAATACAGTTCACTGAACGCGTTTTTGCCCAGTGGTTCCCAAAGTGGGTGAAGATGACCATAGGGAAAATATATAATATTATATATAAGTATATAATACATATACTCATCAACTCCTCGTGACGTGGTAAAGAAACTGAGAAGTCTAACAGGAAATAGAGGCTGTTCACCTTCAAACTAAAATCTACACCTTTTGAAACATGTTGGTTTCAAAGGCACTTTTTCTGTTTCTGGTTTGATTTTTGGTTTTCTGGTTTTCTTTCACAACCAGTTGGTGGTTAGTTGGCAAGTGTTTGCAGACTAATTGGCATCATCTTGCAAGCTATGGATAACAGCAATCAATAAAAAGAAGAACGCGCAGCATGTTCCATGAGGATGAAGTAATGCTTCATCAGCACGAGGTCCAGGACACCATTATCACACTTGCATTTAGAAGGTTTCAAAGTATGGCAAACTAGCTACTGTAGCAACTTATTAATGTTAGTGTGCTTTATCGCCAATGCTTTCGAAGCCACGTCACTATTACTTTTTGTCTTGTGTGCAGTTTGTGTTTTCCCCTGCTGACTTGGTGGACTTGGTTCTTGAGAGTGTTTGGATTTCCACTGGAAAAAAATCCATTTCCATAACATGTGTCAAACTTCCGTAACTTTTTTTTTAACTAAAATAAAGAGTCACGGGGCAGCTGCTGTTGTGCATCAGTACCACAGAAAACAGCATTCATGCTGAAACGCATTCACAGGCTTTCAGAGGCGTTGAGGACACTCTCATCTTTTAAGATTTGTTACGGTCTGCTGACATAATGGCAGTAAAAAAAACTGTTATTTTTTCATATTCATAAAATTCTTATATTTAAAAATGTTTAATTTCAGCCCTACTTGACTTCATTAATGTTGCCAATTACTGTAGGAACAGTGAACGTCTGTGTCCACAAACAGTTTTTTATTCTGCGAATGTAATCCTATCTTCTTCTCTCTTTTTTGACATATTCGATGAAGCTCAGCATTTACACCACTCACACTTCTCACTGCCTGTGTGGTTGGGAGATGAGGCTGATGTCGCTAACATGACAGTAAATGAAACAGTTTGGAAATACTTTACCACAGACGCTGATACTAAAATACAGAAAAGCAATTACAGAGTGTAAACGGATGAAAAGGTTTTACCAAAAAAAAAAAAGAAATGACAATGATGTATATGTAGTATCAAAAACGGGTTCTGATGTTATGTCAGCAAATTTCTTTTAGGGCGTAAGTAGTTAACTTCATGGATTATCACTGACTGAAAGCATAACTTTTTCTAATGTATTTCAGTGTTCCTCTCAGTAATATTAAACATCGGCTGTAGAGAGAAATAATTTATAAGGGCCCGCATTCACAGGAAGCTGTATGTGATCTGCATAAGGCTGACTCAGCTCTTGTATTTTTAGAAATGCTATACAGTACTGTTCAGAGGTTTTTGCCTCTTAAATTAAGTAAAAACTCTTCCAAAAGCAAAGATACTTCATACAACATGCAGTAAGCAGAAATAAAATGAGGCAGGTAATTTGTTCCGAGCATCTTGTGGAACTTTCTGCAGCTGTTCCGTGGATTTAGTCTCCGTGTTTTGTGTCTTTGTGTAATCTATATGTAATCTATGTTCGACTCTGTGGTGTTGTATTCAGGGGTCTGTGTGCAGGCAAATAATTCACAAGCAGCTGTGAGACTCTTTTCAAAGGCAAACTGAGGAAAGTTTCATTACTCACTGTAGAAATACCTGAAAGGAAAAAGAAATTCTCAATATTCGCTTGTCAGATTTCTTCTGGAGGCGTTCATTTATCATCCGAGCGAAGCAATTTATAATTCATCTATATATGTGCCAACATAAATTTGATAATTAGTAACAATCTCTCAGAACATTAAACTTTAATGAAAATAAATGAATGGCAAAAACCACCAATAAAGAAATTTTAACTGGAACTGTTGCATTTTATATGACCAGACTTCCATTAACTGTCACGTATCTAAATATCCTTATACATGTTCACAGTGATACTGCCCATTGAGGGCAACGGCAAGTACACTGACTGTGATGCTGGGAAATAGAGGCTCACTGCACAGTGCTGCCTTTATTAGATTAAACAGTGGAATTACCTGATCTTGTTTTTTAATGGCTGACAGATTACATGTTACTCCCCGCTGCCTGCCTGCTGTCTTTAAAGACGTGATTGTCAGGCAGGTGGAAAACAAAGTGATGATTATGATTCTGGTCTGTAGTTCTCGTGTTACCCTAACTCACAGTTCCACCTGGCTACATGTGCAACAGTATCTTTTCATTTGCCATGTTTAAAAAAAAAAGAAAAGTTAATACTTGTTACCTGATTGGAATTATTATTTAATAATAAATTTATTATTATTAGTTATTATTCTGTAACATGGCCTGAAATGTCATTATCACATAATTACTCATTAACAGTATAAACCTTAGGCTACACACACAAAAATAAATAAATGAATGAATAAGCCGAGAAAAAAATTCAAAGTGATTAAACTGATGTGCAGGTAGAAATGCAGGCTACGTTGCTCATCGTCACACACTGGTTTTTGGTCAAGTAGTCAATATTAATCCTACAGGATTTGTGTTGGAGAGCCAGCACTGGTTTTCATCCATTCTATACTGGGCCATAATTGGACAGATTAGGCAGCCAAACTGTAAAACCAGTATTTAATGCTATAGCAATATAAACATCTGTATACTTAACTTATTTGTACATAATCTGTTCATAACTATTCCACAATTTATACTACCCTTATCTGTATATAATCTGCTCTTATAGCATTTTCTGCTCTTGCACTTCTGATTAGATGCAAACTGTATTTCGTTACCCTGTATTTATACATGTGTAATGACAATAAAGTTTAATCTTAATCCTAATTAGAAATTTATGTTAAAATCATATGCAAATAATTTATTACTGCACCAAATCTAAAGGACTAAAGTAAAACCACAGACAGCATACAAGAAATCACATATTGGCTTGTATATCAAGTCTTGTTATGAAGCCTCGATAGCAGCTTTTTAGCCATTGCCATCTTTGCACTTTGAAACCAGATGTGATAAGGGGAAGGGGAAAGCGGGAAGTCATTAGCCAGTGAGCATACCCTGGATAATCTTCCTCTTGGAATGACCAAAATGTACAAAATGAACTTGATGTTTTAATCAGCATAACCTGATATAAGTTACTGAGCCCATAAACCAGAAACAGTACTTATTTATATAGAAAAAGAAAGTCTTTTTGCAACAACGGTTCACGCCCCTCTGGTGGTCTTTAAAATAAATGCATGTTTAAGGCACTTTTGATATACTTTTTAGACCATTTTTTTAATGCACTTGAAAAACTGTTTGCACATTTAAACGGAACTTGTGTAACTTGTGTATGATAAGTGACCTTAAAGGTTATTTTATTAATCTTTGTAGCTGTTTCACAGCTAGCTGTTGTCACTCACTGCTGTTTGTTGGTTTGTTTGGGACATTTATGGCAAATGGCCTGTATTTGTATAGCACTTTACTAGTCCCTAAGGACCCCAAAGCGCTTTACACGTTCAGTCATCCACCCATTCATGCACACATTCAGACACTGGTGATGGCAAGCTACATTGTAGCCACAGCCACCCTGGGGCGCACTGACAGAGGCGAGGCTGCCGGACACTGGCGCCACCGGGCCCTCTGACCACCACCTGTAGGCAACGGGTGAAGTGTCTTGCCCAAGGACACAACGACCAAGACTGTTGGAGCCGGGGCTCGAACCGGCAACCTTCCGATTACAAGACGAACTCCCAACTCTTGAGCCACGATCGCCATTTATGTACTTATTTAAATGGTAACAATGCAGGGATTGCAAAGAAAAAAAAAGAAAAAAGAAGAAGACATTTGTGGACTTTTCCACAATCTTTGTTTCAGCTTGCATTCTTTGGCCAGGTTTACTAATGCCCTGCCCCAGCATTAAAAAAAAGTGTTTTCTATTTACAGAGTGCAGTAACAGGATTGTGTATGGGAAGTCACAGTTTCACAACTGACCCTGTTGCATGAAATTCCTTCTGAAGTCGCAACATATAGGGGGGAGAATATTTAAATAAAGCTTGTACACTTATTTACCAAAGGTTTGCGATATGTAGTTAATGGTTAATCGCACCAGTATTTAACATGTCTTATTTTTTGCACTTAATATCGAAATGAAAGATCCACCCCTACCATATGAGCGCTGTTAGGGGATTTGCACGCTGTGCTGCCCCATTTAGTAAATCTGACCCATTGTGTGGAATTTTTTACATGATCAGAACAACTGATTGAACCATGCAGAAGTTTCACATGGTTGTTATTTTCACACACAGGCGACTACGTGGTGATGACCGTGTACTTTGACCTGAGCAGAAGAATGGGCTACTTCACCATCCAGACATATATCCCCTGCATCCTCACTGTGGTTTTGTCCTGGGTGTCCTTCTGGATTAAAAAAGATGCCACTCCAGCCAGAACAGCTTTAGGTACAGTGAACTGATGGCACCTGAGGGTCTGTCTTTAAAGGAACAGTACTGCACCGCATTAAATACATGGAAATAATACAGGAAGCATTACTTCAACATCCCACTTACAAGATTTAAGTTTGCACTTTTTGGTTATGTGTTTTTGAGGATTCATCTTTATGTGCTTCTCAGATATTTGTCACTAAAATCACTCCATTTGTCTGCTCTTTTGTGTTTTTCTCTTTCGTGCATGCTTTCTGTTGTTGTGCAGTCCTGTGGAACATTTTTTGGGAAGGTAACAATTTTTATTTTCTCTCTTTTTCTCCATTATTCACATCTGAGTGAGGAAATATTGACCCAGCCTTGAGTTAAGGGATTGGACAAAATGCTGAGTTTAACCACTAAAATTTCAAATTTATAAGCCTTCTAAATGTAGCTGTGTAAGCTGTTTTTACCACTGTTGTGTGAAATTATATTTTTGCTGATGAATGTGCTGTTATTGGAGCTAAAAAGGAAAATGCTACAGCTCGGTGTCACAAGGCTCCCTGTATCGCCCACCATCACCGTGTTGGATACTGTTCGCTCACACAAAGTTAGAAAATGAACGAGTGCTTTTAATCTGTCATCTTTGCTCTAAAGCATGCCGATCAATGGCTTGCAAGTCGGGAGGAAGAATGAAGATAATGAATGGATCTTAGATGTAAGCTGATTGTAAATGTATCTGGCAAGCCAGGCCAGTGTGGGAGTAAAGATAAAGCCCCTTTAAGACTCAGTCAAGGTCAGAAAACCTTTCAGCCGACTTACACACTTACACTTTTAACTTTGCTTAGTAGCATGCTTATACACTATGAACATTTCTTTACAGAACCTCATAGTTTCACATTTTAAGCTGTCAGTAAAAAGTAAAATGCCTCCGAGACGTTCCTCTCATCCAACCTGCTATTCATGCTGTTGTTTAGAGGAAAAACTCTGTGTCACAGCATCAGCAGAAGCCAGGTAAGAGTAATCACTGTGGCAAGCAGAGGCTAAAGGAAAAGTGCGAGATGTCCGCCTGAAATAGATGGGGCCAGCTTGTTACCATAGGAACCTCAGTGAAACAGTAACGGATGTTTTTTTTTCCTTTAAAGGCATCTCTTTAAAGCTCACAGAGGAGTGAGATTGGCGAGCGAACAAATGAAATTATTCTGAGATGCTGGAGGGATAGAGGTCTTCATTATATCTAATTAATTCATCGTTTGTCACATAAATGACACATTTGGCTTCTAACACGACTAAATAGCACAAGCAAAATAAAATAAAGGCCTACTGTAACTAATTTAATACAGAGCGAGCCATGACAATTAATAGGAAAATATGAATTAATACAACATAAGAAATAACCGTGTGTTTGGAGGACTGCACGTAAATACGCTTCTGTAATTTTTACATGGGATGAATTCCCACACGTGTTGCTCATTATCACTCTTCATGCCCATCAGTCGCATCAAACCCCAAAAACAAGTGTTGTTGTTGGTGTTGACAAAGGATATGTTAATCAAAAACACAAATTCAGTCACCTACTTTGTCACTTTTTTTGTTTTTACGTGGTATTAGTATGATTGATCATGATTATTATTATTTATAATACAGAGGAGGTACAGGGGTTAGGAGAGTCTCCTCACAACACGAGGTTCCTGAGTTGGAACTCTCCATGTGGAGTCTGCACGTTCTCCTGGCGTCCTCCCACAAGCCAAAGACATGCATGTTAGATAAATTGGTGATTCTGAATTGGATGTAAATGGTTCTCATTGTCCCTTTGTTAACCTTGTGATAGATAGACTGGTAAACGGGTTGTACACCTCTCACCTGATGACAGCTGGGATACGCTCCAGCCCCAACCCACCCACACCTGCCTTACACCCCATAAATCGAGATGGAGCTAGGAAAATATACAGAACTAAAACAGAGGATGAACTGAGAAGCCTGTTTTGAACACGCACAGCTACTCTAGAGTCCAAAACTAAATATGTAGAGCTGGTGATCAGCACTGTAAGGCAACTTTAACGAATGGGTAAACGGGTTCTTTGCTTGTGGTGATCTGTTGTGTTTAAAGCAACAGTATCATTGATCTCTTCACTGTGACTACCTTGTCTTTGTGTACTCATCTGGGTTTTCAGTGCTGCACTTTCATTGAAATGAAATCATCAGTGTTCTCTTGCGTCTCAGCGTCTAATGTGATCATAAAGGATCTCGAGGCAATCACCTCACAGATGTGTCGATGTTTATGTCGATGAGAATCTCTCGGTTGTGTAATCCTCGTCCTGCCTGGCTTTTGCCGGACTGTCTGAAACACTGAACACACAATGCTTTTTTGAGTTGTTTTTCCACTGTTATTGTTGTAATTCTGCATCACCAGCTCAAGTGTCTGTAGAGATTTTAATGTTGGCATTGTATCACTTTATAGTGATGTGGTCAGCAAGCGCAAACAACAAAACTCAGTTTGGACCAAAGTCACATTCCAAGTGGAAACAGATCCAAAAAACTTGTGTTTGACTGAGACGACTTTTGTTTGTCCTTCAGGTATAACCACAGTTCTGACCATGACCACTCTCAGTACTGTGGCCAGGACATCACTGCCCAGAGTGTCTTATGTCACCGCCATGGACCTTTTTGTCACCGTCTGCTTCCTGTTTGTCTTTGCTGCTCTGATGGAGTACGCTACGTTAAATTACTACTCGTACAGCGTTCGAAGACCCAGCTACATGGAACCGAAAAGACTGGTGAGCTAGTTTGTGTATTTCAAACAGATGTGTTAAATAGTCTCACTGAGTTAGGTCAGTGAACTCTGAGGAAAACGGTAAAATTTAGATCGAGGTGATGCCTTTATGCACAGGATTATTGTCACGTGTTAGAAATTAGCTTTTTTTCTGATAGTGCTTCGGTTCTGTTATCAAAGGATTGAAGTAAGAAAAGTGCTCTGAGATGAGATGATGTGATGGTGCCTTATATACGCGCTTTGATAGAACCATCACTATTTTACAGGACAGGCGGACCATCAAATAGTCCACCTCATGTCCTGTGCTCTCATCTTACACTTAGTGTCGCACATGAAAATGTTTCCAGACACCGTTAGTGGACACACAACAGACTCAGATGTTCTTTTACTTC